CCGGGGTAAATGTCAAATCCAAGCTCTTCCACACAGAAATCGCACGATGCTAGCGGCTGGCGAGGACGAGATCGGGCCTCTGAGCTCCGCCGGCCGTCCTCAGTCTTCCTCGCGGGGCCGGCTGGTTCTCCCACAGCTCTGTGCAGAAGCCGGGGCGGCGTTTAAGTAAACGGCTCTGGAGTCCTGAGTCCCAACCGCCGCGTCCTGTGAAGGCCTGACTCAGTCCGTCCGTCCGCCTATCGGTGAAGCGGGGCCATTAGTCCCCGCCTCGTGGGCGAGGAAATTGCGAGGAGGGACGAGAGCGCCGCGAGCCGAGGAGCATCTTTCTCCTCCGCTGACCGTTTTCCGGCCAGGAGCGTCTTCGTTCTTTTCTGTTCTTGGGAATTTAGAACGGCCCCTTGGCCCACACTTCCCACGGCTGGGGGCGTACCCGGAAGCGCCTCTACGGAAGCCGACCGGAACGCGCGGCGCTTCACCATGGCGACGGCGGGGGCCCCGCGGCGCTTCTGCCGCTGCGCCTGCTTCTGCTCCGAGAACCTGTATGTGGCGCGCTACGGCCTGCACCTGCGCTTCCGGGGCGAACAGCAGCTGCGCCGGGACTACGGCCCGGTGAGCGGCCGCTCGAGGCTCCCCCGATTAGCAGGGATAGTGGAGCAGGGACCTTAGTCCCCAAGGTTGTCTGTTTTGCGCGTGGCGCGCTCCGCACACTCATATACGGCCAGAAAGACTTAACCTCTCCGTGCCTCAGTCTCCTCACCCTAAACGGGGGTAATAGTATCTCCTTAGTGAGAACGAATGAACATCTGCAGAGTGCCCAGGGCAGGGCCCTGTTGTGGCAGCCTGAGAGCAATCGGGAAGGGAACCCTGCTCCGTGCTTAGCGAGGTTATCGCAGCGCATCCTCTGAATGATCCTGTGAGGTCGAGGCTCCCCTCTCCACTTTAAGGAGGGGAAACTGAGGCCTACAGACATGAAGGGACTTGCCCAAGGTCATACAGTCATGCTCACTGGTCTTTCTGCTCCCAGATCCTGCGCAGCCGAGGCTGCGTCAGCACCAAGGACTTCCAAGATCTGCTGGCAGAGGTAACACTCCCCCGCGCCCCGCACAGCCTAGCCCTGCCTGTTTCAACTTGTGTCAGCAGTTTGAGGGGTCTCTTAGCCTCAGGCCTGGCAGTCCCTGATGCCTTTCTCCCTTCCTGCCCCCTCACTTGGGTCTTGCACCAGAAGGAGGGAGAAAGGGGAAAATGCCAAGTGGTCTTAGCCATGCCCTTCTTAACAGCTGTGAGTTAGGCAGAACCATCACCCCCATTTTGGGTCAAGAAACTGAAGCTGAGAGAGGGCAGTCACTTGCCCAGGGTTTCGAAGCAGGCAGAGCTGAGCCACTAGCCAGGCCCTGGGGTCTTCATACCTTTTCACCCCCCCACCCCCTTCCCTTAGGCCAGTGCCAGGGCTGCTCCTGCTCAGCTCTGACCTCCTCCCCAACCCAGCTTCCCAGGAGAGTCCTCGGCAGCCTCAGGACTTGACTGTGACTCTGTTCCTCTCCCCAGGTGGGCCTGGCTATTTGAGGTACCTCCAGGAGTTCTCATCCCAGCCAGGCTGAGGCTGGAGCAGCCCAAAACTGATGGGCCCGCTTCTAGAAGTCTCCTTTAGCCAATCGTTTGGCACTTGCAGTTGATTCTGATAGATGCAGGAGTGTAGGGAGGGAGACTTGGCTTCCAGCCTGTGCCCTGCCCCTACCTTCCCGGGCCTCAGTTTCTTTATCTGTACAATGGCCTCGGGGGATGGCAGGCCCACCTGGTAACCGAGTCCTGTGGCACGCCAGCTTGAGCAGGAGGTGGAGCGGCGGCGGCGGCTGGGGCAGGAGTCAGCTGCTAGGAAAGCCCTCATCGCGAGCTCCTACCACCCGGCGCGGCCCGAGGTCTACAACTCGCTGCAGGTACTAGGCAGGGAGCTTGAGGGCGGTTACTGGCAGAGGTGGCGGCATCAGGCTTGGGGGCCTGCCTCACAGCCTGTGTGTGCCGCCCCCAGGATGCAGCTCTGGCTCCTGAGTTTCTGGCCGTGGCTCAGTATAGCACATCCCCGGGTGCAGACCTCAAGGGCCTTCTCCAGCGGCTGGAGACAGTGTCAGGTGAGGTCTTGGCCCCCATGGCCTGGCAGGATGGGTGGGGGGAGCCTGGGATACCTGTGTGTGGGAGACTGGGGTCCCTCCAGCCACCATCTCTGTCTCCAAAAACCAAACCAGCAGGAGCTGGAAGGACCAGGGGTACCAACCTGCCGGGAGCAGGGCGTCTGCATTCATTCATTCATTCACTCATCCAACAAATAGAGGGTGTTTGCAACAGGTGTGTGACAGCTGGCACACTCAAACAGGGCTGATCAAAGAGCCTAATGAAGGGACAGGTGAGACAGATGTGGGCAGGGTTAAGGGATCGGCAAGGAATGCTCTGTTGGGGGGCTTAGGTGGAATGAACCCCCTCCCAGCCTGGGGGTACCCTCCTCATTGCCTTCCACTCCCCAGCAGTTGAGACTGCTGAGGCTGTTTGGGTGGGGCAAGGGCTGGGCTACAAGGTGGCCATGTTAGCGTGCTAGGGGCACACCAACCCTGTACACTGGGCACTGGTGCATCTGCCAAGAAACGTTTAGGTTTCCATTCTCAGCCTGGCTTCTTCCCTCGGGGCCCGACAAGGAAGAGCAGCCCTCTTGGCCTTCCTGTGTGGGGAACAGAGGCTCCCAGAGACACTCTGGGTTGGGGTGCAGACTTTGGAGGCTTGCCAGGAGGAAGGGGGTACAGAGAGAGCCTGGTGTTGGCCCTGGCGTCCTAGCTGGGCTCTGTCACTGGCCTGCTAGATGTCCTGGGCTAGTCCCTTCCCTTTGGGCCTCTGAACTGACATGCGAGTTCTGGAGGCCAGCCCTGTGGGCACCCGTGGAGTCAGGGGAGAGGCTCCAGGGCCAAGCAGGGAGCACGTGGCGTGGCCTCCCCCACTTCTCTCATGTTACGTGTAATCATCACAGCAGCCCTGAGAGCGGAGGGCCCTCCTTATCCCCATGGTACAGATGAGGAAACTGAGGCTGGGGAGAAGTGAAAAGACAGGCCCTGGCGCCCACAGCTCACGAGATTGAAACCCAGGCCTGTCCGGCCCACACCAGCACTCCCAGCTGACAGACTGTCCCTCCCTCTGCAGAGGAGAAGCGCATCTACCGGGTGCCCGTGTTCACGGCACCGTTCTGCCAGGCCCTGCTGGAGGAGCTGGACCACTTTGAGCGGTCGGACATGCCCAAGGGAAGGCCCAACACCATGAACAATTATGGGGTGGGTGAGGCCTGGCCCAGTGGGCCCGAGGAGGGTGGCTGGGGTCGGGGAGCTGCATGCCCACCTGTGAAATGAGATCATGGTAGCGACACTGTGAATTGGGACAAGGCACCTGGCACCGTCCTTAGCACATCCTGGGCTGCAGGGCGGGACCCCCCAGTCTCCCTGCTGACCTCAGGGATCTTCTCCCAGGTGCTGCTACACGAGCTGGGGCTGGATGAGCCTCTGGTGACACTGCTGCGGGAGCGCTTCCTGCAACCGCTGATGGCCCTGCTGTACCCAGACTGCGGCGGGGGCCAGCTTGACAGCCACCGTGCCTTCGTGGTTAAGTATGCACCGGGCCAGGACCGTGAGCTGGGCTGCCACTATGATAATGCTGAGCTCACCATCAACGTGGCCCTGGGCAAGGCCTTTACCGGGGGTGCCCTCTATTTCGGGAGTTTCTTCCAGGTGAGTGTATGACCCGTGGGGTGCCCAGGTCCTGGAGCAACCGTGGGTGCCCAGGCCTGATCCTTGCCATCCACAGGCACCTGCAGCCCTGACGGAGCCCCTGGAGGTGGAGCACGTGGTGGGCCAGGGTGTCCTGCACCGAGGTGGCCAGCTGCACGGTGCCCGGCCCCTGGGCTCTGGTGAGCGCTGGAACCTGGTCGTCTGGCTCCGAGCCTCTGCTGTGCGCAACCGCCTCTGTCCCATGTGCTGCCGAGAACCCGACCTGGTGGATGACGAGGGCTTCGGGGATGGCTTCACCCGAGAGGAGCCCGCCACGGTGGACGTGTGTGCACTGACCTGAGCCTGGTTCCACCCAGTTTGGGGAGGGCGTGGCAGATGAGGGCAGAAATAAACTCCCCAAAGGCCACTGCACTTGTTGATTCAATGACATGCTGGCTTCTGGATCATTCTTTGGTCAGAGAGACTGGCTTAGTTGAGGATTGTTGGAAGCAGAGTCCGATACAGAGCTTCTTGGAGAGCGCAGCCTTAAGGGAGTGCCGGAAGCCAGAGGGCAGGGAGCCGCTGGGCACGGACGTGGCTGCAAAGGAGAGAATCAAATGTGCCAATATTTATAAAGTGTTTTATAACAGTCCTCTGTGTTTGCTGCTGTCATTATTACTGAAGAGTTTGCAATTTGGTGGTCCCAAGATTGGATGACCAGCACAGCCATGCTTTCTGCAGGTTACCCGTTTGAAAACCAGGGGATTTCCGTATTGAAATCTTGCGTTCTGGTTTCCCTGGGAAAGTGGAAATACCGGGCCCCATTCCCACATTGCAAAGATCAGCTGGAGTGGAGTCGCAGCGTCACACTCTAGACAGGCCTGTGGTCCACTCCCTCATTCATTGTCAAGATGTCTGTGACCCCTTACTGCCACTTGAGCTTGCGACCTCTGTATTACCGGGTGGGGACGTCGGAAAGACCCGGGCTTCTCAGCCTGGAGCGCACAGTCTGATGGAGTGGACAGGTCCGCAGACCAGCTGGGGAGGCGCGCGGCGCGCAGGAGGGTCGCTTTCTTCCCTGGGCGGGGAGGTGGCCGGTGCTGCGGGCGCGTGCCTGAAGGGCGGTCTTGGGAGAGGGCGCAGCTTGGGTAAGACAGTTGTGAGGGGCCCGAGAGCGCGGCCTTGGCTGGGCGCGGAGCTGCGAGCGCGGGCGCTGCCTCGCACCTGCCTGGAGACGGAAGCCTGGCTGCCCAGCTCGCCTCTGCTCCAGGAACGGAACCCGGGGCGTGGGAACGAAAAGCAGCAGCGCCCCGCTTCCCAGCCGGACACCCTCGTGCAGCGCCCCGGGCCGGAAGCCACCTTGCCGCCGCTTCCTCACGCGAAGGTGTGGCTCGGGCTGGCGCTCTAGCCCGATGGGCGGTTGAGGTAGGGGCAGAGCAGCCCCCGGGGCCCACTCAAGGCGGCGAGGCCGTAGAGCGCGCGGGGTGGGAGGCAGGAGCAGGCGGGAAAGGACTCAAAGCGCCTCCCGCGGTGGAGGATTGCGGCCAGTTCCCCGCGGCTCCGAGCCGGGTGCGCAGGCATGGAGCGTCCGGGCGGGGACGCTTCCTTAAAGGGGCCGCAGCGCCGGATCCGGAGTCGCGGAGAAGCTGGCGTTCCCGAGGGTGGGGGTGGGAGAGGATCGCGCAGTTCCCCGGGGCGGCCACAGGTACCCGGCGTCCCGAGGGCCAGGCCCCAAAGGGGTCCTCCGGTTAAGCGCGTCCGTCTTCCCCGTCTCCAGCCCGCGGCGCCATGGCGCACGTCGGCTCTCGCAAGCGCTCGCGGAGTCGCAGCCGGTCCCGCGGGCGAGGGTCGGAAAGGAGGAGGAAGAAGAGTAGTAAGGACGCTTCGAAGAACTGTTCAGCCTCTGGATCCCAAAGTCGCAGGGCCAGCACAACCCCCGGGGCGGAGGGTGAGGATCACAGGGACTGGGGCAGGGGGTGCGGCGACTTCGCGGCGGCAGCGCGGGTGGCTGTGGGGAAACGGGAGTGAGCAGGGGGCCGGGCACGGACTGTGGCGTAGCGGTTGGGAAACCCTCAAGAGGGAACACTAAATCGTGCCCTTTGTGCACTTGGGCAGATGGCGGGGTGGGGGGGTGGCCGCCCTCTTTCTGGGCAGGCAGTGACCTCGGCAGCCCAGAGGGTGCTCCTCCAGGGTAAGAGCGGATTTCTGCTCTGGAAAGCCCTGCCGGGAGGATCCCACCCTGTAGAAGCCTGAGCCTGCCCCAGTCCAGAGCCAGGGAACGAAGGTTTGCTTTTTCCACTCCCGGCCTTCCAGCCTCACCTTCTCCCTGCATCACAGAGAGAAGCAAGCACAAGGCCCGGAGGAGACCACGATCCAGCTCCTCCTCCTCTTCTTCCAGTTCTTCTAGCTCCTCTTCCTCCTCTTCCTCCTCCCCTTCCTCCAGCGATGGCCGGAAGAAGCGGGGAAAGCACAAGGACAAGAAGAGGAGGAAGAAAAAGAAAAGGAAGAAGCTGAAGAAGAAATGCAAGGAAAAGGCAGAAGTGCAGCAGGCTGAGGCTCTGCCAGGCCCCTCGCTGGACCAGTGGCACAGATCAGCGGGGGAGGAAGAGGATGGCCCAGGTACGCGGCTGCCCTGTGTTGTGTGCATGAGGAGGAGGGTCCCCTCCCCCAGGCCTGGCCACCACCTCCCACATATTCTTCCAGTCCTGACGGATGAGCAGAAGTCCCGCATTCAGGCCATGAAACCCATGACGAAGGAAGAGTGGGATGCCAGGCAGAGCATCATCCGCAAGGTGGTGGACCCCGAGACGGGACGAACCAGGTGCGGAGCCCTCGGCATAGCTGGCCCCACGCCACTGGGTCTGGAAGTGTTGGCCTAAGATGAGCACTCAGGAAGGAGGGGTGGTGGATGCTGCTGTTCTAGAAAGGCCAAGTGTGGGTAAAAGAACAGTCACTTGTGATGCGACACCTCATGTGTTCCTCCCCCTTGCCTGGAGTAAGCGGTTGCAGAGTCAGGAAAGGCCGGAGGAGCCTCTTCCAAGGGCTGCCGTGGGCCAGGCTGATGGGGGAGGCTGGCAAGGCACAGCCCGCCTCGGCTGCTTCTTCATCCTTGTCTTGGGAAGGAGAGGGGCTGAGCGCCCAGTTCTGCCTGCTCAAGCTGGTGGGGCCGGAGCCCTGGGCCCCCTCTGCTGGGTGCTGTTTCTGTTGCTCTGGCATTAGGGGCTCTGCCTAGTCCTGGCTGAATGAACACCCTCCCCGACCCCCAGGCTCATCAAGGGAGACGGAGAGGTCTTGGAGGAGATCGTAACCAAAGAACGACACAGAGAGATCAACAAGGTTGGTGTTGCCCCTTTGCCCACTGTCCACCCGCAGCTCTGCTTCTGATGTCCCCCCTTCTGTGTGCTTTCTTCCCCAGCAAGCCACCCGAGGGGACGGCCTGGCATTCCAGATGAGAGCTGGGCTGCTCCCCTGAGGGCCCGGGCTGGCCAAGGCCTGTGGACCGTGCTGGTGGCCCGGCCTGGAGGCAGGTCTCGGGGTGGCAGCAGGAAGCCTGCTGGGTGCCATTTGCTTTTTCTCCTGTGGCTTAACCTCTACCCCGCCAGCCTCTTCTCGGGGGTAGGGGGTGGAGGAGGGGGTCCCTGGCTTACTCAGCACCCCCACCTGAAAGAGGGAAGCTTCCCAGACATTAAAGTTTCCCTGGTTATGGACATTCTCTGTTCCTGTGGCTTTTTGTGTGGGGGTGGAGGAGAGTGCTAGCTGACCTCCAGGGAAAAATAAGGGCTCCAGGAGCTTTTGGGGAAAGCTGGGTGTCCTCCGGTGGGAGTGACCATAGGCCACACCAGCTGCCTCCACCCTCATCCTCAGGTCAGCTCACCTGTACCAGAGCCTGAGCCCTGTGCCCAGCAGAGTCCCAGCCCAGAGTCTTGGCTCTTAAATTAGATTCACTTGGGCTTAGAGAGCGATGGCTTCCCTTGCTGTGTGTATTCCACAGGTCACAACTGTTGAGAGCCCCGGCACTGGGGCCAGGTGGCCTGGGTGGGAGGCCTGGCTCTGGCTCGAAGCTGTGTCCCCTGTGAAGCCGAGAGGCTGGCAGCACCTGTCTCAAGGGGCGGCTGCGAGGACGCACTGAGTTCCTGCCGGAGGGAGGGGCTGGGAGCAGGCCCGGCCCAGAGTCACCCCACTCGGGTCTGTTGCTGTCACTGAGCAGCTGGCATCAGGGATTGGGAAGGGCGGCCTCTCCCCACCACAGCATTGGCGGTGGAACAGCCATGCCCCCGTCCCTTGCCCCTACCCGATATACCCCAGTCCACGGTTGCTCGTGCAGTAAAGAGACCCAGAAGGAAGCCTTCCTGCTTCTTTAATTGGAATAACAGACAGTGACGCTGTATACAGAGCACACTCAGGCCCAGGGATGCAGAGACAGCAAGGGTGTGTGGGAAGTCAGGACACCGCTCACACGTGGCCCAGAGAGACAGACGGCACACGGACAGATGGGAGGGGCCATGGGAGACTGCGCCGGGCGGCGGCAGCTCAGACTGAGCCAGGAAGGGGTGGGGGCTCTGCTGAATCCCTCTGTAGAAATCAAAGAGAAGGCAGGTGGTGGGAGCTGGGGTGGGCGGAGGCTCAGTCCAGGGGGCGTGGGGGCGTGGGACTAAGGCTTCTATTCTAACAGGCCCAGGTGGGGGTGGCAGTCAGCAAGGCCTGCCTCACCCTTTGGTTATGACTGGTCAGGCCTGAGCCCTGTGGCTCAGCACCCGACACTGTAAACATTTTTGGTATTTTTAAAGGACGTTGCCCTCCTCTCTTAGTTTCTGAGAAACTGGTCCTTTCTCAAGAGGAGAATGTGCCAAAAGGAATCTTAGGGAGGCAGGAAGCAGACCTGGATACGGAAGAGACTTGCGTGGGGAGGGTGGGCTGCCCATCTCACCACCTATGGCTAGGGGCCGCTGGGAGAGGCCCAGGGGACTATTGCTGTTGTCCTTGGCATGGCTGGCGGCTGGGCAGGCGGGTGGGGAGCGTGGGGCTGCGGGGAGCTGCCCCTGGGGAGAGGCCGAGCCCACTGCCCACGGGGCCTCCCGACCCTTATTGCAGGAGGCCCAGGCCTCTTCCAAGTGCTTCTCCAGATGGCTGGTCACCGAGGCAGAGGCAGGACAGGGTGAGGCAGGGCGGGGAGAGGAGAAGCACCGGCCACAGGAGCCCCTGGCCGGGGCTGTGATTGTCAGGCCAAGCGACTTCCCGCTGGGGAGCAGGGGGGTCGGATATTGCACTTCCACTGCAACAGTTATGTGAAAACTTGGTCCGTAAAATAATCATTGCTTTATACATAACGCCCAAAACAACAACAAAAAGCTACATCTTAAATATGAATAAACCCTGAAGCTTCCATCCCTCTCTGCACAAAATAAATAGCTTTCACTCTGTATAGACCCACTTTTGCAGAACATTTACACGACCCTTCAGCTGTACATATCTACACACAGGGAAAAGGAACATCGATCTGTGCACCTCCCCGGCCCATCCACGCGGCCCCGAGGCCGGACCCAGGTTGGCCGCCGCTTCTCGGGGACAGGCCTGGTTGCTGGATGGCTGGCAAGGCCGGGCAGGCTCTCGCACCTCAGGGAGGTGGGGAGCAGCCGGGAGCCGGCAGCTGAGCGCCACAGCTGAGGCCGCGCTGAGGGCCGGGGCTGGCGGGGGGCTGGGGTGCTGATGCTGGGACCGGCGTGCCTGACGGCACGGTCCTTGCTCAGGTGAGACACGAGTCGGAGCCACCTGCCCTCAAGCTGACGAAGCAAGTTGTGGCTTCTTAGATTCGGCATTGAAACGGAATTGGCATTAAAAAAACCTAAATGAGCCCCGCCCACCCCAGAGTAGAAATTCAGTGGGACTGCCGGGCTGGGTGAGGCCGGAGCCCACGCCCCGGAGCCAGGCTGGACTCCGTCACAGTGCTGGGTGTTTCCAGTGTGGAAGGGCTGCGCTTGGTACTCAGAGTTAAGAAAAGGAAGCAGCCAAGGATTGCTCGTTTAAAAAAACCTCATAGAAATCAGATTGAGAAGTAGAAAGGCGTAGAAACGTGGGTGGGCGGCGGCCGTTGCAGGGGCCTCGGCTGACGGCAAGGTGTGGAAGAGGCGGCCGGCCTTCGCAGCCTTGCGCCTGGGCTGTGCCCAGGGCGGAAACGGTACCAGGTCTGAGGCCGGCCTGGGCTCCTGGTGGGGCAAGCGGACAGAGGGCAGGGGTCCGGGCTGCAGAGGGAAGATGATGGCCTTTGTTTCCTGCTTGCACAAGGATTTGCTGCACTGGAGCCTTGGCGTGGTCCGAGGTCCTGGGTCAGCAAATCTGAATTTTCATGCATGTCAACGGGTCCGTAGCCACAGAAGATGGTAATGGGTCACCGCTCTCAAAAATCAGTGCAAAACCAGTGAGGTTGAACAGTTGAGTCGCTCGAGTTAACAAGAAGCAGGCTGGCCCCTGATGGAGCTGCTACCAAACGGGAGGGTCTGGGGTGAGGTGAGCCGGTGGCAGGGAGGTCGCAGGCTAGGCCTTGGCCCACACCAGGCACCAGGATGCGGGAAATCCACGCAGGGCAAGAAGTCCCAGAGAGCCAGGCCAGCCTCTGGCGGGGGTCCTAGCCCCTCTGTCATCCTGGGGCTGGTGGTCCCGCAGCTTCCACGACAAGCTGGACCCCTGAGACCCTAAGGACATGAGGCAGGGCTAGGAGGACTATGTGTCATGGCCTGTGTCCTAGAGGGGCCGTGGGACAAACTCCCAGGCCCACGTCTGTGCTTGTCTCCAGCGCCTGCGTGTGCCCAGGCCAGGCCTCCTGGCTGGGCTGGCCACCCTGGCCTAGCACCATGGAGACCCCAGTGCAGGACTCATGGTGCCCTACTTGGGGCCTGTGGCTGCCCCCGGCTCCAGGCGGCCAGTCATGGCGCGGCCCCAGCAGCCGGCCGCCATGCTCATGCTGCGCTGCCCGCGCTGCTCGCCCTCCGCTTGGCTCTGCGTCCGCTCGTGCCGGTGGCTGGGCCCGCTGGGCTGGGCCGAGATGGTGCGGAGCAGGTGGTTCCGGGAGCGCAGGAAGTCGCCCTGGCCTGGCAGGCCGAAGCTGCCCTTGCGCAGCGCCATGCGGGTAGCCGTGTTGCGGGCCGGCCGTGCTCGGTGATTGTACTTCAGCTGGGCCAGGTGGGCCGCGTAGCCGTCCGTGATGAACTGCGGGGTGGTGAGGGGCAGGGGCTGTCAGGGGCCGGGGGGGCTGAGCTGCCCACTGGTGCCCAGCCCCACGACGTGCCCACTCACCTGGCACTGCTGCTGCAGCTTCTTGGTGGGCCGGCCCACGATGTAGATCTGCATGGGGGACAGGCTGATGGCGCTGTAGACGGCCACGTCCTTGGTGGAGCCGTAGGCCGCGTGCACGCGCAGGTGCATCTGTGGGCGACAGCAGCGGGGTCACAGGCACGGCCCTTCGGCCCTAGCCCTGCCCCGCCTGTCTCCCCACCCCCGGGACCCACCTCGGAGATGAGCAGCTTCAGGAAGTTGGCCTTGTGCCGCAGTGGGTCATGCACCAGGCCGTCACAGAAGGACACCACGCCGTGGGGGAAGTTGTGCTGGGCCAGCCACGCCACCACCCGCTGCTTCTGCATGTCGGGCCGGCCCGTCACGTAGATGATGAGGTAGCCCAGGTCCTGCCAGTGCCTGGGGACAGAGGGCAGGCCTGGTGTCCCACGGCCATCCCCTCCTCTGCCCAGGCCTCCCTGTCTCCTGCCCAGCCAGTGCCCACTGGGGCCGCTGGAAGGTGCATCTCTGAGTGGGCTCGGTGTCCCCACAATGACAGCAGTGACGGTGGCAGCAGCAAGCCCTCACGGGTGCCCATGGCAGCGGGCAGGTCCGGGAGCTGCTTTGCAGGCTGTGAGTCAGTCCCACCACCGCCACATATGCCTGCGCCAGGGGTGCGGCTGGTCCTGCCAGCCTCGCTTTCTGGGAGGTCAAATCGCTCGCCCGGGATGATACAGCCTATGATGGCGGTGCTGGGCTCCGAACGGAGGTCCCAAAGGCCCAGGGGCCAAGCCAGGGTCCCCCGCCCTGGCCTGCAGGTGCCCCTGGGCCCACCCACCCTGCTGCAGCCCCACCGTGCCCCTCGGGGCCACTCACCGCACCACGTCCACGGCCCCGGCCCGCACCTTGGGGTCACTGCCCATGATGGACACGCTGGCGGCAAAGGAGCCGTCGATGCTGAAGACCACAAACTCCGTGCCCTTGGGCAGCACCGTGATGTAGCTGTCGGCAAACGTGTGGTCTCCCCTGGCGGGCAGGGCCGGGGGTGCTCGTCAGAACCAGCCGGAGCCCCTTGCTCCCGCCCGCCCGCCGCCCGCGGGGGCCCCTACCTGACCACCATCTTGATGGGGTACACCCCCACGCCCAGGCGGTGTGTCTCAGGGATGGTGTAGGAGACGCGCCCGCTGCTGTTGGTCACCAGCGTGTCCAGGTAGAGCCACTCGCCCGAGGGCGGCTGCATCATGATGTGCACGTCCACCTGGAGCCCGGCAGGCCGGTCAGCAGCTGGCTGCACCCTGGCCTCCCACGCCCCACGCCCGGAGTCCCGTGTTCTGACCTTCTCCCCCGTCAGCGTGACCATGTCCAGGGGCCCGTACATGAACCGGCCCGTCAGAACCTGCGGGCCGTCCTCGTTGGCGACAGCGTCATTGATCCGGTGGTTGGCGGTGACGTTCTGGGGTGGGGAGGAGCGAGGCTGGGTCGGTGTGGGGCCTCCTGGGCGAGGGGTGCGCCTGGGCTCAGAGCCAGGTGGCCCACGTGCGAGTCCAGGTCAGCCCCTCAAACTACGTGGCCTGGGGGGACTCAGGAGGCCTCGATGTGAAACGGGCCACAGCTCCGACCCCGGGCTGCACAGACTGAGACAGCACGTCCCTGCAACTCAGCGTCCCCGTCCCTGACTCGGGGTTTCTCGTGAGGGCTGAATAGGGCGGCAGCCGTGGGGCGTGGGCACCAGGGGGACCCTCACCCGCAGCTTCACGTGGGTCCTCCTGCGCTGCCATTTCTCTCTTGGCTTTGAGGGGGTGAACACTGACACCTCCTTCCCGTCCAGCTCCAAGATGCTGGAGTTGTCGTGCCTCATGACCTGGGGGGACAGGGCAGGCCATGGGGCGGGCGCCAGCCTGGGACCCCCCGCTGGGGAGCCACCCTAGAAGCCAGCAAGAAGAACCCGTGAGGGTGCTGGGGGGATGCCACTCAACCCCTACAGTCTGTCTGACAGCCCCCAAACTCCTACATGCCCACGAATGTGCAGGCGTGTTCTCTCTGTCCCAGCGTCCCTAAAAGGCTACTCGTGCTCGAGCACAAAGGTGCCTCTGTCGGGCTTGCTCTGTGGTCTGATGGAGCAGGGGCAGGACCTGCCCCTCATCTATGAAACGGGGCCGAGTCATGGGTGGTGTGACCCAGGCTCTCCCTGTGGGCCCAAGTACCTGTCTCAGCAGGAAGGAGACCACGTCCGTCGACTCCCAGTAGCTGGCGTGGAAGAGGTGGGGCAGGGCCACCGTTGGGAAGGCTGTGAGGGCATCGGGGCAGTACAGGGCGTAGTCGATCCGCTTTTGGCCCCACCACTTTGCAGCAACTGCCAGGAGGGGGCCTTGACTGGGCTGGGGCCGCACAGCCCCAGGCAGGGTCCCCAGAAGGTCACCTGGCCCCTCTGGCCTGGCTCCGCCCAGCCTAGCCCCTCCCTCCTGCTGCAGCCACAGTGAGTCTCTTCTGCCTAGGCCAAGTGGGAACCCGGGGCGGGGGCAGCTGCCGGGACAGCCCCCCCACAGGCAACATTAGGCACTGCCGGGTGTGGTTGGTGGCTGGAACAGGACTAGCCCTCCCCATCCTGCCGCTAGCTCTGATGACCTCTGTCCTGGACCCTGGCATTGCCCTCTCTGGGTGCCCCCGTCCTACTGGTCTGCCGCCTGGGCCTCAGGGCTGTGAAAGGGGTCAGGGAGGTGGGGTTCAGTGCCTGAGCCCCCAGGCAAGGCCTGCTGCCCTCCTCCGCACCTGGGCCACCCACGCTCCCCGGGAAGTAGCAGGCGGGTGGGGATGCCCAGGCGCCGCAGGGGGACGGTCCCTGGTGTTGTCCAGGCTCAGGTTCCTCCCGGGCAGCTGCAAGCAGGAGGGGCCCGGCACACCATGCCTGTTTTATGGGTGCACCCTGCATGATGGGGACCCTGCAGAGCTGCCTTGGTTCTCATCTGGCCTCGTTCCAACTGCATGGGTCCCCTGGCCCCCCTGGCCCTCCAGCCAATGCCACCGGCTCCTGCCCCCTCCCTGCATGCCTGAGTCCTCCCGGCTCCCCGTTAGGTGTCAGTGGGGATCCTGGTGGCAGGGTGTGGTGGCAGGAGGGTGAGAGGTGTTCAGTAACAGTGAGCGACCCCGAGCGAGGGAGGTGGTGTGAGCAGCTCAGTGCTTTCTCCGACATCCAGGCCGGGGTACAGAGGCCCTCTCTGGGCCAGGGCTCACCTGCCTGGTAGGAGGGTGGGGACTAGGGGTGGCAGGGCAGGGCTGGGGCAGTGTGAGCAGGGATAGGCGCCTGATGTTGGGGATGTGGCTGAGTGACACAGGGGCCTGTGAGGAGCAAGAACAGGGACAGCTCAGCCACCCCAGGGGCCACTGTGCTGCCATGTCTAGTACGAGCTGGGAAGTCCACTGGGCAGAGAGCCAGGCCTGGGGCCACCAAGGGGAGCCACTCAGTGAAGATGTCCCCTCCAGAAGCACCTGCATAGCCTCGGCACCTGCACAGCCACACTGGGGCAGCACCCAGGGGACAGAGTGGTGGGCAGGAGCCAGGCGACAAGGGAGGCCAGGCCACGCCTCTCCACTGTGTGGACCAGAACATTCCCTGCTGCAGGGCTGGCCTAGGACTGCAGGGGGCCACCCATATCCCTGCGCTACCCGCCACATGCCAGTAGCACCTCCACCGGCAACTAGAGATGCCTCTAGACCTGCCACCTGTCCGGGACTGGGGGCCCGATGGCCCCACCCGGGCGAGGAGGCCGTGGGGCACCGGCACACTCACTCTGGGCAATGCTGGACGCCGTGTAGCTCTCGGCCACGCCCGACGCCTGGCTGGCGATGCTGATCTCGCTGGCTCGGCGGAAGCCGCGGCTGGTGGGGGCTGCTCCGGGTGAGGAGGGGGCTGCGTGCTCTTGGAAGACCGTGTTGTGGGTCTGGAGCGCGTCCGCTGCAGGTGGGTGGGGAGGGGAGACCCAGGTGAGCGAGGCCCGCAAGCAGCCCGGGAGCCAGCGTGCGCCTAGCCGGGCCGGGCGGGGGCCTTGCCGGGGCCTGCTGCTTGGGCCGAGAGAGGGCTGAGGCCCAGCGCTGAGGCAGGGAGGAGGAGGAAGGGCAAGGCTGGACAGACGGATGGACACAGACACAGGGCAGGGAGGCCAGGCAGCCGGGCTCCTCTCCCCACCCCAGGTACCCTCTCGCCCCGACACTCCGCAGCTAGTCCCTGGCAGCCCCACCAGCCCGGCCTGCCCCCACCCGCGGCAGCAGTGGCAGCTGAACCCTGGGCTTGAGAGGCGCTGGCAGCAGGGGGCTTGGGTGGCTTCCTGGGGATGCTCCACATGTGCAGAGGCTGAGGAGGAGGTGAGTCCCTGTGCGTCCCTCACACACAGGCCACAGCCAGCACGGTGGGCGTCTGGGGACAAGGGCAGGTGCCAAGGGCTCACGCCCAGCTCACCTGGGCCAGAGGAAGGGCAGCAGGGAAGACTGGGCTCGGCCAGAGAAGCTGCATCTGGACTGGGGGGGAGGTGCCTGCACAACCTCAGGGTGGGGAGTGGGCCCCAGAGAATGCCACCCCTTGCTGGGACTGGAGGCTTCTCCTAGGCGAGGGCTCCTGCGGCTCGAGGCCTCACCCCGCCTCCTGTCTGCTCCCACCAGCCTCAGGGAGGAAGGACAGAGCCCTTGAACCGTCACTGACATGCTGTGTGGCCCTGGGACAGCCCCTGCCTTTCTCTGAGCAGCTGTGCCCACCTTTGCTCCGGTCCCTCTGCCTCTGACCCAGTGTGCAGGGAGAAGGCGCCAAGGCCACTCTCCGGGGCCTTCCTGCACCAAAGTCCCATGAACTCTGAGTAGCTGGGGGTGGGGCTGGGGGGCCCAAGGACCAGGGTGGGGTCAGGCAGCCAAGCGGACGTCACCACGAGCGGGGGGGTTACACACACTCAGCACAGCCCGGGCTCGGGCGGGGCCCGTCTTGCCAGGTGGGCGCGGGAACGGGGATACTGGTTTCCAGGAAGCCGTCCCCGTGGGGGAGAGGGCCAGGGGGGCCACCCTCCAGGACCAGCTCAGGGTTTCTCTGCACGGTCTCGACTGGAGGCAGACGGGGAGAGAACAGAGGACAAGAACAGACACTCGAGTGGGCCATCTAGACACGCTCGACACACTCGGGGCTCCTCGAGGACTAGGACAGACAAGATGCCGGGACACACGCTGGGGTGGGGGAGGGGCCGCCCCGCCCCATGTCTGCCCCCCCCCATCCCCTGCACCCCCATCTCTGAGCAGCTGCCTGCCAGCATGGGGCCCTGCCGATAGTGTCCCCGACTCAGCGAGGGCCCCTCCTGGGTCCTTAGCTCTGTCTCCGCTGGGATGGAGGCTCAGGCAGTGGGGAGGGGTGTCTGCTCCCCATCAGGCACCCCAGGCTGAGGCCCTGACCTGTGCCCTCTGAAATGCGGACACGGTCATCGGTGCCTCTCAGGCACCAGTGAGGACGGGCGCACCTGCACCTACGCCAGGTGTCCCCTGCTGAGAGGTGCTCAGTGCAGCCCGCCCCTGCCCCTCAGGAAGAGCCGCCCTGGAGGGCTCCCACCTCCCGCCACCCAGGGGAGCTCAGCCCTTACCCAGCAGCGTGGAGCAGCCGTCCCCCAGCGGGTAGCGCTGGTAGCGGGGGATGCTGAAGGGCGGCAGGGCGTGGAAGCGCCGCTCCAGCAGGGGCTCCAGGCGGGAGGCGGACGGGTCCGCGGGGTGGAAGAGGTTGTAGACCTGCTGGCAGGCTGGCCGCAGCTGGAAAACTGGGGTGGGGTGGGGTGGGGTGTCAGCTGCAGAGCCTGCGCTGGCTCTGCCCTGAGGAGTGGGGTGGGGAGCCTGGGGCCCGGGTTGCCTCACTATGAGTTAGGGAGAAGACAGAAAGTGTGTCTTTATCAATTTGGGACCTGTCTGGGTCACTGTCATTTTATTTATTTTCACTTTAAATTTTTTGTTTTTGAGGACACGGTCCCACTCTGTCATACACTGTCACCTGGGCTAGAGTGCAGTGGCATCATCATAGCTCACAACCACCTCAAACCCCTGGGTTCAAGCGATCCTCCTGCCTCAGCGTCCCGAGCAGCTGGGACTACAGGCACGTGTCACTTGTGGAGGGGAGGGAGTGTGGGGAGCTGCGTGCGGGGGTCTGTGTTTTCCACCTAGCACTTGGCAGTGTCTAAACGTCTCTCAGCCTCAGTTTCTCCCTCTGTCGTGGGAGGTGACATGGGTCCCGTGCGGCTACTGTGAGGGCTGCGTGGCTCCCTGGAGCTGCAGTGGCTGATGGGGGTTGAGGGCTGGGCAGGGGCTGCTGCTCTGATGGATCCTCAGCGTGGAGGGCCTCTGGGGCCGGGAGGCCGCTGCACCCAGGAGGCTTGGGGGTAGGTGCCTGGCGTCAACATCTCTCCCCTGTGGGAGGACCTTGGACCTGCAACACTGGGTTTGTCCCCCCCCCTGGGGTGGTGCCTTCCCTCCCTGGACCTCAGCATCCCTGTCTGTGGAATGGCCCTGGGCTCCTGCAGGCTTCCTGGAGGTGAAATGCAACAGCAGGTGTCAGGGATGGGACAGTGACTGAGCTGCTGGAGCGGGAGCAAAGGTCAGCAGCGGGTCCTTGGTGGGGGTGGCAGAAAGAAATGTGCCCAGGAAGTGGCCATGGGCTCATGACTGGGGTCCACTGGGACCTCCTGCCCAGCTCATGTACCCCCGTCCCGGCCCTGCAGGGCTCTCACCATCCAGGGCTGGGATGATGGTCTTCCTCAAGGCCAGGACCAGCCCCAGAGGGCACCCGAAGAGGAAGAGGTCGGTGATCTCGAAGTCAAACCTGCCCAGGGCCCCCGTGCCGTCCAGCATGGTGGAGCTGCTCGAGCGGTACGTGCTGGGCTCGGTCCTCAGCACGCTGGCGTGGAGGCTGAGGTGGGGGACGCAAAAGGTCATACCACAGCCCTTCTCAGGGCTGGCCTTCCTCAGCCTCATGGGGGATGGGCTGTGTCTTATGGCCCCTCTGGGGTCAAGAGCCCAAATGGGGCGTGACCCTGTGCTGGCCCGTGGGTGTAGCTGCCTGGTGCCTGCTGGTCCCAACTTCCCAGGGGCCCACTGCCTCCAGGACAGCCCTGACGGGGACCCTGCTGCCTGGTCGGTTCTGCCCTGACTCTGCCAGACCCCTCCCCACCTTCAGGACATGCTGTCACCGCTGGCTGAAGGCGGCCCCTGGTGTGCACAGGACAAGGGCACCCAATCAGCCTCTTTCCCCTGGGCCCAATCGGGGACCCCAGGACCCATACAGGGACGACGCCTCCCAAGCAGGCCACAGGCACAGGTGCCGTCCCTCCCTCTTGGAGCCTCTTTCCTCACCCGGCATGGGCCTCCAGGCCGTCCCCGAGCCCGGTGGCCCCTCACCTGGACAGGAAGGCCTGGTGCTGCTGGATGGTGTCCAGCTCGTAGGTGGACGAGTCGCTCCTCTTGCGGGGCAGCTGCCTTTTGGGGTCCTCGGTGCCGTTGCCTCGGGGGATGTCGATGTTGCTGCGGCTCAGGTGCCGGCTGTTCTCCAGGTTGGAGCTGCCACCACTGCCACCACCACCGCCACCACCACCGCCACCGCTGCTGGAGCAGTGTGCCGCGTTCACCAGGATGCCCGGGGACAGCAGGTCAGCGTCCTGGAACGGCCCCGTGGAGGCTCACTGCCGGGTGGCTGCTGGCCTGGTCCCTTCTTAAGGGCTCGGGAAGCCCCCTCCTGCCTCCTGACCGGCCACTGCCCCGCCAGCCTCTTGCCCAAGCCAGAGGGGAGAGCCCCTGTCCCCTGACCCTGGATCGGGGCCATGCCCCACAGCCTTCTGCCACTCTGCGGCAGAGGGACCTGGGATTTTCCCTCCCTGCTGGGAAGCAGAGAGGGTCCACCTGTCCCCCCTCCTGGGACCAGACCTCACCACCCACGGGACAGACCCTGGTTTGTGGCTGGTGAAGCCACACATGCTTCTAGGCTTAGCCACGCTGGGACTGTTCACCTGCCCCATGCACCTGCCCTGCCACCTCTGGGCACCTGTGCTGGCAACCTCTGCCCTCCCATCTATTCTTGGGGGTGTGAGGAGAGCAGGATTCTGAGGAAAGCTCCTACACAGCTCCCTGACCCCTCGGCTCGGACTTCCTCAGCACCCCCTCAGCCCTCCCTGCAGGGCAGGGGCTCGGGGGCTCGGAAAATGCTTGTTGAATGAATAAATGGAGCTCTGCTGGGTAGAGTCCGAGCCGGCTGGACTCAGGAGGCGTCTGCTGGCACTCTGCTCGCAGGCAGGGCAGCGACACTGTGGGACACGCAGGAGGCTGCAGGCCTCGATGCACGTTTGGGCCCCTGCTCAGTACCTGCACGCTGACCACGCTGCCGCGGCGGCTGCTGCTCTGACTCTCGGACACCGGCTGGTTGCTGTAGCACAAGGCATCAAACGCCAGGATGCCCCCGACACAGTCCCCGATCAGGCAGACCTGGGTGCAGGAGGGGCCCAGAGGCCTGAGTGGCTGCCCTGCTCCTGACTGCAGGCTGGGGAAGCTGCCACCCTCTGCCTTGGACCAGCTGCCCTGGGGGTCTTCCTTCTACCCCACCCCAGGACTCACCTGCCCGTTGAAGGTCACACCCTCTTGGGACTTGATGAAGTCCCCATAGGCGAGGTTGGCCCGCTGAATCACTGTGGCAATCGCCTCCTGGTACTGGGGCGAGGAGGTGGCCAGCAGGGGCAGGGCGGCCAGGGGGATGTGGTCCTGACTGCTGGACAGACAGCCTTCGTCGTGACTGTAGGGGCTGAGGCTAGAAGAACAGGGGGTCAGGAGAGGGCAGCGGCCTCAGCTCGGCCCACAGGGCACCTCTCCCCAACCCACGTCTCAGCCGCTGGCTCGGCGAACACCCATGGGGACGCTGGCAGGCCAGGCCAGGCAGGCTTGGGGAACAGGGCAGGTGAGCAAGACCCTCTATCTCAGAGGCAGGTTAGTGTCCCCACGTTACAGGTTTGGAAACTGACTGTGCCCAGCGTCCCAGCCCTTCCCCGGCTCTAAGCCCAGCCTGTGTGCGTGTTTTGCTGCCTTCAGGCAGAAGGGCCTGCATGGCAGATCTGGCCCTCGGGGTGCATGGGGGTCCCGACACTGGGGGGGCCGCCTGAGGCTCAGGTGTGGGGCGGGGGCAGGGCTTTGCTGCCCTCCCCACCTGCCCCCAGGAGCGGCCGGGGGCGGTGGGCGAGTGCAGGCGCCAGCGTGCAGACGCCACTCACTTGGAGACCAGGGCGAAGGCATCTGAGCAGACGGGCGGGCAGGGCACCAGGCGGATGGCGAGGCGGCCCAGGGCGCTGGGGTAGTGCACGCGCATGACCGTGTCAAACACGCTGGCGATGGTGTTGGCGTCGCCCTGCTTGGAGCCGGCGTCCCCAGCGCCCGTGTCCAGGAGGGTGCCTCCGTGAAGCAGCAGCAGCAGCACGTGGGTCTTGCAGGGCGGCGCGGCCAGCGGCTGGCTGACCTCATCCTGCACGGGCGGGGGGCGGGCGTCAACTCCCCGGGACTCAGCTCCTGGATGGGGCCCCAGCACCCTGGCGGGAAGCTGGCCTCACCCAGTTCTCCCTCCAAGACCCCGACTGCCACCTGGCGACCTGGGACCTGGTGTTCGGCTGCCTCAAACCTTTCCCTCAGACCCCCTCAGGATGCACGGACCGGAGCCTGGGGAGGGGCCAGGGAGGTGGGGACCCCCTGCCCTCCACAGCTCTGACCGCCAGCATGCCCAGGGCATGTGGGAGGGAGCCCAGGCAGGGGCTTTTGGGGCTTCCGGCTTGAAGGGGAGGCGAAGAGGCTCAGCCGGTCTCGGCCTCGGGGCCTTCCTGCCCTCTGTGTGTCTGTCTTGGCCTGAGCAGAGGAAGCCACTACCGGCTCAAAGTCACAGCGGTCACTTAAGAATGGCTTGGGTCAGGGCCACAACCCTGGCCCCTCTGGGGCAGCTCTGAGCTCTCCCTCCCTCTACGTGGGGCCTCCCACTCTGGGCCTGGGCCCTGGCCCTGCCATTCCGTCCTCCTGGCCAGGGCTGCTTGTGAGGTCAAAGTGAGACCTTCGATCTGCACACCTGTGCATGGGGTGTGGAACTCTTCCTGGCTAAGGGACTAGACTAACGTCACACCGCGTGTCAGTGCCAATGGGATGGAAGCCTGAGCCCCTGCCACAGCTCAGTGCTCTCCTGCCAACCCAGGCTGTGGCCGTCCCCAGGGGCTTCCCTCACCCTGAGTTTCTGGTGTGTGACTGGTGGGTACCAGGGCCCAAGAGAGGCCACCAGCATGTACTTCCTACGCTGTTACGTCTCGTGGGGGGGTGGGCAGTGGGGAAGGAGCTGAGGGGAGAGTCCTGTCCCCAAGGACCTGGGGAGACAGACCAAGTGGCCAAAGCCATCAAGGGCCAGTGGTGGAGACAGCTGGCCCTGATGGCAGCGGCCACCAGATGGCAGGAAGTGGGACCAGCTACAGGACCTAGGTGCTGACACAGAGGATGGGGGGTGGGCATCTCGGGGGCTGGACCAGGAAGTTCAAAGGGCCAGGCCAGGCCTGGCTGGCTGGGAGCCACTGGGCAGGGTGGGATCCAGGTGAGTGAGGGGGAATGGCTGCTGGGTGGTACTGGGCCTGCAGGAGGAAGGGTGGGCTGCCCTTACCCTGGGAAGGGCCACCTTCTTTCTCCCTCACTGGGGCTGGGGCAGGACTGACACCTGTCCCCATGCAGGGACTGCCCGCTGCAGGCCAGCCTGGGTGGGAACCAGCTCACAGCCTAGGGCAGGGTGGGGCCACCAGCTGCCACAGGCCAGGAAGGAACAGCCAGTAGCCCACCAGGCTCGTCTGACAAAGGCTCTTGCAGCCCAGCAAGGCAAAGGGGGGTGGAAGAACCGTCTGGAGGCAGGACTTAGTCCCCGGAGGACGAGCAGGGCTGGGCATTGGGGGCTGAGCTCAGAGAGTCGTGTGTGTGCCTGTGTGGCTGTCCCCGCCACTGGAGACTGTTCGGGGACTGCCGCAGGGCCCCTCACATTTGGTCTGCAACACAAACTCACTCTGCCCGGGACCCTGGTGGGAGCTGGGGCGTCCCCTGGTCAGTGTCTACACAAGGCCAGGAGAGGGGGCTCCGGTTTGGGGGCTGTTGCAGCAAAAGGATCTGGCTTTGGATGGTGGTGCCCCAGAACGCACTGGGGTCCAAACACACATCCGGAGGCAGATCTAGAGCCCCAGCCCCTGCCCCTCCCCTGGGGGGCCGTCAGAGCTGTGTGCGCTGTAGGAGGGGAGGGGGCTCCGTTTGCTTTATCTCGCCATTAAGCAGCAATTGGATATCAACTCCCCTCCAGCCATTGCCCTTCTAGAAAACCCCACTTTGACCTCACACCTCAGAGCAGAAGCCCCCAGGAGGGGGCAGGGGTGTGGATTCACCTCCCCCAGCCCCCAGACTCCCCAGGGGCCCCAGTTCCCCAGAAAGGAGGTGCTGCCTCCACCTTGGTCAGCCTGAGGCCAGAGCAGCGGGGTGACCCGGGGGACAGCGTGGCTTGGCCAGGCTCCCGCTCGTGCAAACAGCTCTGACCGCCCGCCGGTAGAGGAGGAGGGGGCGCGAGCTCCGGCAAAGAACCCCCGAAGCGGACACAGGCGCTCTACCAAGGCAGCTTTATTGGGACACTGAGCTCCGCCTGCCCCCCACGAGGCCACTGCGCTGGCCACGCCACATCACTTCTGCCTAGTCGGCTTTCGCTTCCTCCCCTTCTTTCTTTTTTTCTTCAGGGACAGCAGACAGGCTGGGCACAAGGTGAAGATCTTATTTTTGATCTGGAATTTACAAGTTTCTCATTTTACTTTCCCACAGGTGGAGCCTGGTCAAGGTCTTCCTCGGGGGCTGTCTGCAGTCCCTGGTTCTCAGGGACATCGTAGGGAGAGAGAGAGGGTGGTGGGCGCCCTCCCGGCAGGGCAAAAAGTAAAGGAGGCCCAGGCCTTTCCCTGCCAACGACCAGGCCAGGTGTGGAGGCGGGTGCAGAGCGCCACCTCCGCAGCCCCAGGCCTGCTCCTCTGTGCCCTGTCCCTGTCCCTGTTCCTGTTCCCCAGGCACCCGGGCACCCACCTCGATGATGTTCAGCTGCTCCACGCTGGAGGCCACCGTGAACTCAGGGGTGCTCTGGCGGTACAGGCCGTCTGCAACACACAAGCTGTGCGTGAGCCCAGGGCCACTGGGCAGCCCAGCGGGGCCAGCAGACGGAGCTTGTAACCGTCACCGTGACCCCTGGACGCCCAGCACTGCGCAGGGGCTGGGTCAGAAAGCAGGGGCTCAGCCCCCCGCAGCCCCCCAGAGCCGGTACCCTGTGAGTCCTCTGGCTCTGGGCTCTCGATTTTGTCCATGAGGTCATTGGAGCTCCACTTGCTGATGTCTTTGGGGAACATTTCCTCCTGGTCGGACAGGTCCTCTGGAGGTGAGAGAGGGGACTTCGGTAGCACTGGGGCCTGGGGAGGCTGGGGACCCAGGTGCCCTCCACACACACTCCCTCCACTCCCGCCCTTCCTCAACGGGAGGCAGCATGGCCACAACCCCCTGGGCTGCTTCCTCATCATTTAAAAAAAAATTATGCTCACATCCATGTAACAAAATTCACCATTTAAACCATCATAAAACCGACATTTAATATATTCACAATTCACAAAGCTGAGCAAGCGTCGCCACCATCTAATTCCAGAACATGGTCACCACCCCAAATGGAAACCCCAAGCCCACAGGCAGTCAGTCCTCCTTCCCGCCTTGGCCACCCTCGTCAGTCCATGCTCCATGTCTGGATTTGCCTATTCTGGACGTCTCCTACAAGTGAAACCGTGCGCTGTGTGGCCTCTGTGGCTGGCTCCGCCGGCTCAGCGGCGTCTCGACGTCTGTCCCTGCTGTGGCGCCTCAGGGCTCTGGCCCTTCCCACGGCCGGGTCACAGGCCACGGCACGGGTCCCACGGCCGGGTCACAGGCCACGGCACAGACAGACCACGTTTGTTTGGCCCCTCGTCAGCCGATGTTCCTGATCGCTAACCCTTGCAAAGCACAGCTGGGTGAGGAGCTGCAGTGGACACCACACCCGTGATCTCGGTTCTGCTTTTCTAGAACTTCTGCCTGGGACCACTGGGTCCGGGGCCGCTGTCTGGGCTCCAGCTCACTTGGACCCTCCTCCGTCTCGGGATGGGTCCCGGGCGCTGCTGCCCTGGCATCTGCTTCGCTGTCCCTCTCCTGTGCAGCCTCGTCTACATTCCACGTGTGCTTTCCTCTTGTCAGGGACAAAGAGCCAGCTGGGAGGGGTGAGATGCCAAGATGCCCCTTCCCCACCGTCGGTGAGACCCCCGGTGCAGAGGCTGACTCAGGAACCACCGGCCCCTGTTCCGGCCCCCAGCCCAGGGCCAGGAACCCAGGCACCTCCCTTTGCCTGGACCCCGTCTGTCTCCCCGAGTTCTCTCCTGTTAGGGCCCGTTGATGGAGACTGCGTCCCGGCGTGGCTCGAGATCTGACCTGCCTGTGCCCTGCCGGGTACCTGTGGGCAAGTCCCCGTCCCGTTCTGAGCCTCTGCCCTGCCGCTTGAGCTCTGGGGCCAGCTCAGCCACCAGCCTGCGGAGGGACCTGTCCCTGCCGCCTGCCTGCGGCCCCCCGACTTGCTCTGGAGGAACAGCCAGGGTGCCATGCGAGCGAGTGCCTTGTGCCCGCGTCTCCCCAGCATAGGAGCGGCGTCGTGCTGTGTGTTTGCCGTGTTTATTTGGGGACTAGTGGGGGAAAGGGCACTTCAAATATTTCCTGCTTATTGTACTTTCTAAAGTGCATACCTTAGATATGGTATTAATTTAATCAAGAAAAAAAATAAGGAATATACAGAAAGATAGAAAATTATAGTAAGTTATAGTTCTTGTGGAAATACATTCACATATGGAACAGAGCCCTAGTCTGGTGACATGTCCTTTTGGGGGGAGTTTCCAGAGAGCAGTGTCCCCCTGCCAGGACCACAGCACATCCTGGTATCAGGTTGGGGGAGCCAGAGACCCCAGGCTCAAGGGAGCCAGCTTGACATCCTCTCATTGTCTGTGCCCCCTACACACCATGCCGTCACCGGGCACGGTGTGGGTGCAGGGAAGGGGCACGAGACAGTAACAGGCAGTTCCCACGTCGGTCCACCCCCCACCCCACTTCACTGCAGGGCGCGGCCTGCCTACCGTGGGCATCGAAGAACTCGTCGTCCGAGCTCTCGTCCGAGTCCCTGGCGATGCTCTGCATCCTCCACTCTGAGATGCTGTGGCGGGAAGGGCTGGCTGGAAGGCAAAACTCCAGGCTGAGCGCCCAGCCTGCAGGGGAGGGGCCCACAGGCTGTGCCGAGCCGGCAGAGGGCATGGTCAGAAGCTACAACGGAGCCGGGAGGGTTTGGAAGGGAACAAGGAGAGAAATAAGGGGTGGAGGGGCCTGGGTGCATCTCAGTGGCAGCTCCTGGACCATTCAAAACTATTCTCCTCCCTTCAGCCTGGCACCAGGCAGGCGTGTCCCAGGGGCACATAGAGGTAGCAGTGTACAGGGCATGAGCCCAGGATGTGCGATCAGATGGGCCTAGGGGCACACCCGGCTCCACCGGACACCCTGCTCGGTTCTTCTTCTCAGGACCTGAGGCCTTGCAGGCTCCCCCTCGGGGCTGGAGGCCCCTCTGCGGTGCTGGGGAAGCCCACCCGGACCTGCATCCCCTGGCTCCTCGGGTGGCGCCTGTCTTCCCTTGGGAGCCTGCTGGGGGGCCCGGGTGGTGCTGGAGCTCACCTCCCCGCTTGGATGAGCGGGACGACTTGGAGGACGTAGACCACTGCTTCTTCAGGCCCCGCCCCACCAGGGGCTCCCCGTTGCTGCTGCTGGGCTCGGGGGGCTCCCTGGAGGCCTGGTCCTGGGTGGCCTTGTCCTTGGCAAGCTCAGCGGCCCCCTCGTCCTCCTCGTTGAACTGGGCCATCTTGCGGGACAGCATGAGCTGCGCCTCCTTCTCCAGCTCGCGGATGTGCTCCATGCTCAGCCCGTACCACTCGTCCTGCCAGCACCAGGCCTGCCGGTGGGCCCGCACCATCACCCTCCGCAGGCCTGCACCCCGGGGGGAGACGGAGGAGGGGTCAGGCCAGGTGCAAACCACCGCCTGCCTGTGCCTCAGTTTCCCCATCTGTAAGACGAGGGGACAGGTTCGCAGACGGCCTCGCAAGCTCACAGTGGCTCTACAATTAGGGTGGGGAGCCTCCCAAAGCAATGTGTCCCGTCAGAAGCCACAGTTACCTTGGTGGGGATTGCTGCCCACCAAGGAAGACATCTGAGAGCCTCCTGTCTCGGTGTCTGGTATAGTTTTCCTGTTGAATTTCCCATGGAAAAAGCAAGTTCAAGTTCAAACTAGATTGGGTCTTTTTTTTTAAAATTGCTTTTAGTATTAGTAGAATATCTGTTACATGAGATACATAAGAATATATATAAATATGTATTTATATGTATTTATGTGTATATGTATATTCACACATATAAATTAAGATGTAAAATAAGGTAAAATAATATACCTTTTAAGGTATAAAGAATAATAAAAGAAATACAGACGCAGAAAGCAGACTGGGGTTGCCTTGGGCTGGAGTGGGAGTGGTGTTGGCCTTGAATGGGAACAGGGGACCCACCGGGGTGACAAAATGCTCTGGAGCTTGAAGCATGGCTGTGAGTACTATGGGATCTAACCAAACTGCTCTCACAAGAACCTGTGTGGTATGTAAAACTACGCCTTGATAAAGCTGTTCAAAAAGTCATTAAAAATAAATAAAACATCCATGTCCACACCACCCCGAGAAGGGACAGGCACTCCCAGCGACAGAGAGCTCTCCACACACCCGTCCTCATGCCAGTCTGTCCTGAATTTTGTATCACTGGCTTTGCTTTCTGGCTTTAGCACACAGATGGGTTTTTGGTTCTGTGCTACACGATCTCATCCCAGCACACCCTACAAGACAGGGCTATCACACCCATTCTACAGACGAGGCTGAGGCATGATGGAGCCACTACATGGCAGGCAGGACTGGACGCAACTGAAGGCTGAAGGCTCCAGGTGACGGGGGAGGCTGGGCCACCATTCACTGGGCCCTAAGCCATCTGTTGTCCACCTGCTGCCTGGACACCTGCTCTGGGCCAGGCCCACATGGGTGTGAAGGACACTGCAATGTCTGAGACATCCTGGCCTCCGAGCTGCCAGCCCAAAGGCAGAGAAAGAGCTGTGGCCACAGGCCTGGGGGCTGGGTGTCCTCAGGCAGGGGAAACGGGCCAGGCAGCCAGCAGGCAAACTGTCCCTAGGAGCCACTGGCCCGAGTGGGGTGCGGCCTACACCTCATCAAACACGAACCAGGTCAGGGCTGTCTGGGGGCAGACAGCACACTGCTGGTGCTCAGCGAGCATTCGTGGTGGGCAAGATCAACCAGGGGAAGCTGACGTGGGCTTTGGTGTCACCTTTCCGGAACAAAGTGGAAACACAGACTCCCAGGCAGACATGCAGGGAGAGGAGGAGACAGACAGGTGGCCTAGGCGGCCCTGGCCCCCACCCGCTGGGCGAGGTGCGCGCTCACCGGTGTCGTGGATGAACCTCTCGATCTTGGACTGCATGCCCCAGTAGCGGAACTCCACCTTGCACAGCTTGTAGGCGCACATGATGGGGAAGACCTGCTTCTTGTACTCCTCGATCCAGTTGTCAGACAGCGGCCCCCGCTGGGTCTTGACCGACTGGAACAGCTTGGGGTCCTCTTCTATCTTATACTCGTTGGGGGGCACAGGGTCTTTGACAATGTCGATGAAGTCTGCGGGGAGACCCTGGGAGTGGCCACTTCTGCCCTGACCACACACCCCACCCGGCTCCTCCCCGTGTCCCCCCACCCCCACATCATCACGGGCCTCACCGGCTGGGGAGCCCTGTGGGGGGTGAGGACGGTGCCCTGGCAGCTCTGACCCTGTGCTCCCCGACAGCAGGGCCTGCACCTGTCCTTGCTGCCTTTTCAAGTCATTTCAGCAACATCCACATTCCGAGTGCGCCCTACGCCATGGCACACAGCAGGTAGATGGGGATGGGGGGGAAGGACATACCGGGGAGATGCGTCTCCATGGAGACCATGGGAGGAGGGGATAGAGAGAACGCCGGGAAGAGCTTCCCGGAGGAGTGGAACTGAGAGGCTGAGGGTGTCCCTGCAGCTCTGGCACTTGACCGAGACGTGGGGGGTCTTAGGGAACCACTGAGGGAGTCTGTATGGGGGGAAGGGCGGCAACAGGGCTGCACTGCACCCGCCAGCCATTTCTCTCCGAGCCAGCTGTGCGTACAGTGTCCCAAGGGCCAAGTAGACCTCCACACAGGTCTTAAGCTGGGAGGGACATGTGCAGGCTGTTAGGAAACCCTCCTGGACAGAGAAGACCCGGGTGAGACGTCTGAAGGGGCCAGGCAGGGGCGTGGAGCCTGAGTGCAGGAGCAGATGCTGCAGAGCTGGGGTTCGAGAAAACAGGGTTGGGGGCTGGTGGGACCTGGTGGGGGTGACGAGGGGAGGGGTGGTGACTCTGGGCAGGACGTATGCTGTGCCACCTCCTGTCACAGCCTTCCTTCTACAGGGGCATCTCCTACCCAAAGGCAAGGCTGTCACGCTGTGCTCACTCCCAAGGCACGCGTGTGCGGGGCGGGGGCTGGGCGCACGCCCAGTGGGAAAAACCCAGGAGAGGGTCTGCGGCTCACAGCGCCCTTCTGGGTGGCTCTGCCCCGACCAGGCGCTGGCCACCTCTGCTTCCCAACGCACCGGCCCCACCGTATCTGGGCTGCACACACAGACATCAGCGTGAGACCAGCGAGGACAGGAGCGAGTCCGAGGGCATCAGCACGTGGGGAATGACGACTGTCCTCCCTGGAGCAGCCCCCACGGGCAGGCAAAGGCTGCCAAGGGCAGGGCTGGGCCGCAAGTGGGTAACGCCCTGGGGACTTAGGACCCACGGCAGCTGGCCACCGGGGGAGCCCTTGTCCAGGCTGGATGGACAGAGCTGCCAGACGGCCCAGCTCACGCTTGGTCCTTTCCTCCTATTATGGGCAAAATTTGGCCCCCCCACCCCCAAATCCCTGCGAATAAATTCCTGTGCTGAAGTCCTAAACTCAACACCTCCAAATGTGACCTTATTTGGAAATAAGGTCTTTAAAGAGGTAATCAAGTTAAAAAGGAGGCCGTGAAGGTGGCCCTGATCCATAGGACAGGTGCCCTTAGAGGAAGAGGAGCCCCAGGGGCAGACAGATACAGAGGGAGATGACTGTGCGGTCACCATGCATTGGAATCTGCAAGTTAAGGGACACGGAGGACGGCCAGGACCCCCCAGGCAGCAGAAGAAAGACCTGGAGCAGATTCTCCCTCGTGGCCCTCGGAGGAACCACCCCCCAACACCTTAACGCAGACTTCTGGCTTCCACAGCTGTGACAGGCAACTTCCTGTTGCTCAAGCTGCCTGCGTTATGGCGCTTTGTCACATGGCAGCCTTAGGCCACTGATAAGGCTACCATACCCCAGAGGGGCCAGAAAACGCTGGTGAAGGTGGAGTGCGGGCACACGCCCCCCAACCCAGCCAAGCCCCCCGAGACGCCTCCTCGGAGACCTGGGCCTGGCACCTGGAGGCGCAGGCTGCTCCTGCCAAGCAGGGTCTGCCCACAGCTGCGTTTCGTTTGACCAGCATACGTTTATTTACAAAGCTTTTTAAATTGGCTGCCAACATGTAGGAATTGGGAGATTTCACGTGGAAATCCTCATCTCTGGCCTTCCTTAAAAAAAATGAAGGTTTTTACAACGGGGCCCATTTCCTGCGTGGCACCGTCACCCGCAGGGGTGGGGTGGAGGCAGCCACCGTCAAGAAGACACAGGCCCCGTCCTGGGCCGTGGCCCCCACTGGCCATGAGCACTTACTCTCGGCTGCTGGTCTGAGATGGCCCCCGCCCCAGCACACATGTGCACTTCTCGGGATTGGGGACACCCCAAAAAGATAGAGGGCAGGGCTCCAGGCGGCAAAGGCACTTGGACTTGGTGTGCGTATCAGAACAGGCTGAGTCGCCTGCTCTGCCTCCCTGTGCACGCCTGGACCCGCCCAGGTCCACCCCGGGGCCAGGTGGACGGGGCCAGGTCTGGAGTCCGCCAGGCTGGGGACCAGGGACAGGACCAAGAGGGCCTACAGGTGGGAAGCCCAGGAGAGAGCCCCGTGGGGCGCCTGCCCTTCCTGGTTACCGATCGTCAGCTGGTTCTTTTCCACAGGCGAGAGGCTGAACACATTGGAGTTTTCTCCAGCATCGGTTTTATAAAAGGTTTCAATGTCGATGGAGAATTTCTCCACAAAAGGGCAGGTGAACCTGTGAGGGAAGGAAAGCAACCATCAGGACCGCGCTTGGACGGGCTACGGCCAGGGCCCACCGAGCCCACGGGGGAGGAGTGAAGCTGGGAGAGTGGGAAGAGGAGGGGTGGAGGGTAGCCGGGACTCACCACCTTCTGGGCCACCGCTTTGTCCCAAGAACAGCCCAGGGCAGGATGGGGAGAGGGAAGGCTTTAGGGGGAGAGGGACGCAGTGTGCGGGAAGCCGCAGAGCTTCCTGGGAGGCGTCCATGGCGTGGTGGGGAAGGAGGCACCGCCATGGCGGTGTATTGTCAAGCAGGCGGAATTTGGAGCCAGTGCTCTGCGGGTCAGGCCACCCCTGCTCCCCAGGGAACCAGCGGTGGCACCAGGGAACAGCCCCCCACCCCCACCCCCCGGGCTGGAGATGAGCTTATGGGAAAAAGAGCCGCTGGGAGGAGGAACCTCTGTGGACCCTCCAGCCAGCGCCAGGCAGATGGCTCACTGGCGTTGGGAAGGAAGGGAACCCTGGCAGACTTGTGGGGATGACATCTGCTCAGCCCATCTATCCAACCCAGCAGTGCTGAGCTGCACCCTGGGGGGCACAGAGGGAAGAACCCCCTACCAAGTGACCCGAAGGAAAGCCCTGCTTAGCATGGGATGTAACACATGCTGTCACAGCAGCTGAGGGTCTCAGAGTTGCAGGGATCCTGTGGGCCATCTGGTCTACTCTCAGCTTCCTCCCAGCAGGGTGAACGTCATGATCCTTCTCAGGGGAAACCTAAAGTGAGTTTGTATTCCCTGCACCTTCCCAGACAGCAAAGGGTCTCCAATGGCCCCTCGTCTGACCCATGCCTTCACGGCCTCCACCCCTGGGTAGTCTAGAGGCATCCTGGGGTGTACTCTTCCCTGTCCTGCCTATGCCTGCCCTGGGTGACCTTCAGAGCACCTGTCTGGGACAGAGCCTGGGCTCCTTGGGCATGTGGGGTGTTGGGCCTGTTGGGGGTCCCAGCCCCTGGATCCATGCTCTGAGGCTGCTTCCCGCCAGATAGCACGGGGTGGCGGGAGGCTCCCAGAGGCAGAGAGGGGGGCGCACCTGGTTCGGGTGTAGGGGTAGGCGTTCCAGGACTCCTCCACCACCCGCAGGGCCGCCTTGGGCAGGATGGAGCGGAACCAGCCTGGGATGTGCATGCCCACGTGGTACACCTTGTGGGTGTACTGCCCGGAGCCGCCAGGGCCGTCTGTGTATGGCCGGTTCTCCAGGATCTCCACGCCGCTGCCTTCGCCATACGTCTCGTTGCGGCTCTTCTTCTGTGGGGACAAAGGCACCACGATGGGTGTGGGACCGGAGCACTCTGCAGAAGGGAAGGGGCTCAGGAAACTGAGCCAAGGGGCGTGGACCAATGGGAGGGGCTTTGGCCAACAAGGCTGGCTTCCTGTGTCATTTCAGGACCCCACATCTGGATCTAGGCTCTATGTGCCCCAGGCCTCATGCAGGAGGCTGAGAGGGCCACGGAGTCCCTCTCTTGTCCCTAGCCCTGCACGTGCAAGTCCTCCATTCTGACTCCCATCTGCCCCAGGACGGAAAGCGTTCCCAAGATCAGGAACAAGACAAGGATGCCCACTTTCTATTCAGCAATGTACTGGAAGTTGTAGCCAGAGCAATCAGGTGGGAAAAAGAAATAGTAAGAGGCAACCAAACTAGAAAGGAAGAAGTAAAACAATTTCATGATGGCATAATCTTAGACACAAAAACCCTGAAGAATCTTGCCCAAATCTGTTAGACCTGATGAATGAATTCAGCAAAGTTGCAGGATACAAAACAACACGTGAAAACGAACAATGCAAAAAGGAAATTAAGTCAATTTCATTTACAATAGCATCTGAAACAATAAAATACGTAGGAATAAATTTAACCAAGGAGGTGAAAAACTTGTGCACCAAAAACTTAACACATTGCGGAAGTTAAAGACCTAAATAAACGGAAAGCTATCCCATGTTCATGGACTGGAAGACGTAATATTGTTAACACGGCAATACTGCCCAAAGCAACCTACAGACCCAATGCAATCTCTATCAAAATGCCAGAAGTCCTTTTTATGCTTTTTATGGAAATGGAAAGGCTGATCCTAAAATTCACATGGAATTGCAAGGGACCCCTGGATAGCCAAAACAATTTTAAAAACAAAACAAAACTAAGCTGGAAGACTCACACTTCCCTATACCAAAACTTACTACAAAGCTCCAGTAACCAAAACAGTGTAGCACTGGCATAGGACAGACAGATGGATGAATGAAATATAACGGAGAGTCTAAAAATAAACCATATATTTATAGTAAATTTTTTTTTTGAGACAGGATCTTGCTCTGTTGCCTAGGCTGGAGTACAATGGTGTCACATCATAGCTTACTGCAGCTTCAAACTCCTGGACTGAAGTGATCCTCCTGCCTCAGCCTTCTGAATAGTTGGAACTACAGGTGTGCATCACCACCCCCCTCCCCCAGCTAATTTATCTGTTTTTAGTAGAGGCGGGGTCTCACCCTTACTCAGGCCAGTCTTGAACTCCTGAACTCAAGTGATACTCCCACCTTGGCCTCCCAGAGTGCTAGGATTATAGGTGTGAGCCATCATGTCTGGCCTCGAGGAATTTTGGTGTGCTAAAACCATCCAATGGGGAAAGAATAGTCTTTAACAAATGGTATTAGGACAATGGGATAGCCACATGCAAAAGAATACATTTGGACCCTGCTTCACACCATATAAAAAAAAAAAAAAACTCAAAATGAATCAAAGACCTAAATGTAAGAACTAAAACTATAAAAACTACAAGAACTAAAACTATAAAACCATAAAACTTAGAAGAAAACAGGGGCAAACAGGGTCATCTTCATGGCCTTGGATTTTGGCAATGGTTTCTTAAATATAACACCAAGAGCACGAGCAACAAAAGAAAAAAATAGATAAACTAGACTACATCAAAGTTAAAAACTTTAGTGTATCAAAGGACATTGTTGAGAGAGTGAGAAGACAGCCTACTCACTAGCAAAAAATATTTGCAGATCATAAATCTGATAAGGGGACTTGTATCCAGAATATAAAAAGAACTCCTACAACAGCCATTTCTCCAAAGGAGATATACAAATCGCAATAAACACCTGAAGAGGTTCCGCATCACTAGTCACAAGCAAAATGCCTCACCCATGATGATGGCTATTATTAAAAAAAAAAAAAAAAAGGAAACCCATCAGCGTTGGTGAGGGTGTGGAGGAACTGCAGCCCCTGCGCACTGCTGGTGGGAATATAAAATGGTGGGAATGTAAAACTGTGGGAAAAGTCTGGCGGTCTCTCAAAAAGTTAAACATAGAATCCCCATATAAGCGTACCACTTCTGGGTACGTACCCAAAAGGCCTGAAAATGGGGACTAGAACAGACCCGTGGACACCAAGCCTTCAGAGGACGTCAGCGCCACCAGATGACAGCAGGCGTCCACACAAAAACGTGCCCACTGACGCCCACTGCAGCATTACTCACAAGAGCCAACAGGTGGAAACGACTCAAACATCCATCAACAGGTGAAGGATGGGATAAATGTGGTCCATCCACACCACAGAATGTTACCCAGCCAGAGAAAAGAATAAGGACGGATACGTTTACAACGTGGGTGAACTTTGAAAACATAGCAATCGAAGATGCCAGACACAAAAACCCAAACGTTGTCTGACTCCATGTATGTGAAAAGTCCAGAATAGGCAAATCCACAGAGACAGAAAGTGGATTAGTGGTGTCCTAGGATGCATGGGGGGAGGGGAGAAGGGGCACAGGTCTGCTTTGAGGCGATGAAAACATTCCGGAATTAAGACTGTGGTGACAGTTGCAAAACTCTGTGAATAAGCTAAAAACCGCTGGACTGTCCACTTTAAGAGGGTGAGCAGTGTGGTATGTGACTTTTTATCTCAATAAAGTTGACAAAACAAAACCAAACAAACAGAAACCAATCCTGCCTCTTGCATTCACTAAGATTAAGAGAGGCCAAATGCGGCAAGTAGGAAGGGGCCTCAGTGGCACCGTGCGACAGAGATGACACCTGGGCCACCTCTAAGTGTCTCTCTGTCACAAATGCCCTTCCCAGTGTCCAAAAGCTCAGTTTCCTGCTTATGCAGAAAACCTCATGTTTGAGGTGCTGGTGACTTTAAGCCCAGCATCTGTTTCCATGGTGACATGACGGCATGGCCAAGGCCATCTTCGGTCAGCTTCCTGAACGGCAGCGCGCACGCACGTGTGCACATGGACGCACGTGTGCACATGGACGCGCGTGCGCACACAGCCCTGCGTCACCCCGGGGCACGGCCCTCTCTAGGGCACAGAGATGTGCTGTATCTCCATGGCCTAGAGCCACTGAGTCTCCTTCAGGGAAAAAACCAAACAGGAGACCCTGAGCAAGGCCACAGGCGAGGCTGGAGCAGGCACGTGCCCTCTGTCCTCTTTCAGGGAGCTCCTGGAATGCGGGCCACATTCGTGGTGGAAACATCTACTACTTCCTGGACACTGTCTCAGCCCCTGCCTCTTCCAGCAGCTCCGTTTGCTCGTGGCCATGCTAAGTGCTTTTGTAGGTACGTTCTCCCGCAGTGACTGCAGTGCCCCTGGGGAGAGGTGCCATACTACTGCCATCCCCGATTCGCAGGCGAGAAGATCGGGGCGTAGAGTCACTTCTCTGTGGTCTGTTTCCACACTCTAAGTGGAGATGGGGCTACTTATCTGCCCCAGCCCTATTGTAAGGGGTTGAAATGTGCCCCCTAGAATCTCGGGATGTGACCTTATTTGGAAATAGGGTCTCTGCAGACATAATGCAGCCACGAGCGAAGGAGGGCCTAGAGCCAGCAGAAGTGGAAGGAGACAAGGAAGGTCTCCCCCACAGCCCCCAGAGCCTCTGCAGGGAGTGCAGCCCTGTGGACGCTGGATTTCCAGCACTGGCCTCCGGAACCATGAGAGCATTGTTAAATAATTGTTGTTTCAAGCTACCCTGTGGTTCTTTGTTATGTGGCACCAAGAAGCAATGCACTTGGCTACTGGGAGGGTGGTGAGAAGGTGAGCAGGGCAGAGAGGCCAGGAGGGCCCATACACGTGGCCTCCCTGGGGTGCTGGGGGCGGGGCCTTGCAGAAGCCCCACCCACTCCAGCTGACCAGCCGGCCCTCCCAGCAACCCCCCAACCCCCAAGGATCAAGGAGGAGCCTTCCTGCCCCTTCCAGCTTCTGGTGGCTCCTGGTGTTCCTTGGTGTGTGGCACCAACACTCAAACCTCTGCCTCATCTTCCCTGTGTCTCTGATGTCCCCTCTTCTTATAGGGACAACAGTCATTCAGTTCAGGGCCCACCCTAAAGCCAGAATGATCCCAATCTAAAGATCCTTAACAATTCTATCTTCAAAGATCCTATTTCCAAATAAGGTCACATTCAGAGGTTGTGGGTGGGTGTGGATTTTGGGGGGATGCAAGTCACCGGCTGGGTGAGTACCCGTGATGTCCCCCTATGAGTAGCTTCAGCTTGTTGGAAAAACAGGGGCAGTACCCTGACAATCCCCCCAGCTGCCCGACAGATGGGCCCCTCACTGCCTTTGGCCACGTGTGCCTTCAGTCATCAGCACTTTCTCTGAGGGGACTCCCGAGACTGACCGCAGCACCACTGGCCTTGCCACCACAAGGAGACCTCGTGCTCCATGTGTACATGTGAGCATCCAAGTGGTGGGCAGGCAGGGCTGTGTAGGGTCAGCACAGGCTTTCGAGCCAGAAGGGGTGGAGGGCATCTCTGCCCCAATCCTCGTAGCTGGGACTGCAGAGAAGGTGACAAGTGGGCTGGACTAGGAGAGCCCAAAGTGCTCTACTCCAAGCAATGCGGAAGAGGCAGCCCACCATGTCTGTGGACAGACTGGCTCCATCAGGGCAGCTGTGCACCCTTGAGTAAATTCCTTGACATCTCTGAGCCCCAAACTTTCCTCTGTAAATGGGGATAAACACCACCAACTCTGCAGGTATCATGAGCATGTGGCTTGAGGATTGACGATGCAGCGATGTATTTCAGGCTCTGGACACCCAGGCTGCCACTGTCACCTGGTGATAGTGACAGATATAATTACTTGCTGGAGATGGGTATGGTAGGCTTCGTAGGGGTGTGAGGGCTGCAGCGGGGACAGAGGCCCTGGCACCCAGCCTGGCCCCAAGCCTGTGCTCCTTGCACTACCCTTGGGTGCCTATGCACAGCAGGTGCTCTGTCAAGATTGGTCAAATGAATAAATGGATTCTCTTCCCAACTGTCGCCAGGAATTTTAGAGCCGGCATCCCAAGGGCAGCCAGCCCTCCCCAAACTGGCCCCTGGCTGCCCACCAGTGGTGACGTCCAAGAGGGCGGGGCTTCCCTTGGCACAGCTGTGGCTCAGTCATGCCACCCAGGAGCAAGCTCTGCTCAAGTGCTCTGACCACTGCCCACACAGGACATTGTCCCCGAGTCCTTGCCCACCATTCCTGTGAATGGTGCCACGATGGCCTCCGCAGCCAGTGGCGGTGGGTTAGCAAAGATAGGCCCGGCTCCCCAGGGGCTGGGGAAGGGAGGAAGACGCTAGGACCAAGAAACCCCTAAAAGCAGCGGCTCCCAGAGCTGTCCAGGGTCCTGGCCAAGCCACCTCCGTTCACTCCTTTGGTGGGAAATGTTTGCTGAGCACCTCCTGGGATGGACTGGTCTCCCCCAGCCAGGCCGGCGATTTTGGTTTTTAACCTTTAACACCATGTATGAATACACTGAGTGCAGCTCAGGCACAGTGCCAGGCACTTTCTCTTTGGGGTGATGGAATGTTCTGGAATTAGACAGAGGTGGTGGTTGCACAACACTGTGAATGTACTGAATGCCACTGAGTTGTACACTTAAAAATGGGGTTAAGTGTGTATTATGTGAATTTCACCTCAATAAAAGCAAAACAAAACACCTGATGAAGGATGCCTGAAGCCCCTGGTCCCTAGAGAATTTCTTCCAAATTCTGTAGACAGCCAACAGCCCAAGCCCTGGCCCATGCAGACATCCCCAGAGCCTTGCCCCTCCGAGGACATGTGACCCATGGGCCCAGGAACGTCCTGGAGCTTGTTGTTGGAGCTGGGAGTGGGTGCTGTGGGGGCCAGAACTAGCCGAGCTGTGTGTCTGCCTTCGGAGGCTGAGCTGGGGGTGGGGCTGGCCGGCAGGGGCCTTAGGACGTGGGAAACTTCCTGGTCTGTGGCTCCAGCAGGAACTGGGGGTCTCCCTGGTAAGGAGCCGAGGGCGGCAGCACCCCAGACACATCAATTAGTCCTCAGACCAGCGACAGCACACACCAAGGACGCAGGTGCAGGGCACCAGCACACAGGATGTGCAGCAGACCAAGGCTGTCACCGCGCCAGCCACCCCGCAGCCTCGAGGCCTGCCCAGAGGGAAGCTAACACCCTGCCCCGCCTGAGCAGGGAGCCCCAGCGACCACGCTCCCCAGCCTCCCTCCAAGCACGCTAGTCCCTGTCACAGAAACGCCTCCCCTGGTGACACGTGGCTGGCTCCGCCTTTCTATTTTAGCAGGGAAGCAGACGTGCGCACACACGCTTGCTCACCTGGAAGGAGCACAGGGAAGACCCTGGAAGCTCAGAGCAGCAGGAAGGACTCCAGCCAGGCTCAGTCCAGCTGGGAGGGACGCTTGTGTGGCGGCCTCTCACGAAGGGCCGCGAGTGCTGATGCCCGTGCTCTGCTGCAACACGGGAGGTGTTCGCGTCCCGACACAATCCAGCTAACAGAGCTCATCAAAAGACACTGCACGTGAAGGCCCCGCGGACGGGGCCAGGGCTGTGCAGAGCAGAGGAAGGTCTGAGCATCACACAGGGTGATGCTTAACAGTTTAACAGCTACACTCGCTGGAGGCATAAGGATAGACGTTCAAAATAAACCCTGGAAGAGGGGGTGGGATGGTGTTTTGAGGAGCCCAGAGTCAGAGGTGATTCTATGCTCCAGAAAAGCTTTGGGATCTCCTAGGGGCTGGAGGTCAGTCCTCCCAGACCCCGACCATCCACCTCAGGAGGCCAGGTGGAACTGAGGGGCTGCCTGCCGTGGTCTGAGCTCACCCTGGCCTGGGCGGGGTAGAGGAGCCATAGGATAAGCGGCAGCTTTGGCAGATCAGCCTGCTCCTTGAATGGGCTGAGCTATTTCCGGAGTGCTCCAAGATGGGGGGCTGATTTAAGCCTCTTTCTATCTGCTCTCTAGAAATAATTAAGGGGTAAGTGGTTCAAGAGGGAACTGAATGGCCCTTCTGAAGCAGCTCACAGCAAACAGCCCCCCAGAGAGGCTGGGTTCACCTCCTATTCTCTTCCGAGCCGAGCCTCCCGTGCAGGAGAGCCTGGCTGAGCCCTAGCAGCTTCTTCCCGCTCCTCCAGAAGGAAGCCGTGGCTCCAGGCTCTGCTGGGAGCTCACAACTGCCTCCCTTGAAGTGGGTCGAAGGAGGGAGCCTGCCAGGCAATCGCAGCAGGGGCTGCAGGGGAGGCAGGCCCCACTGGCTGGCAGGGACCAGAGGCACCGATACACCCAGAGGAGCCAGTGCCAGGCCAGGAGCAGCTTTGTCATCAGGGTGGAAGGCCCTGAGACCCTCAACTTGGAAGAAGGCTGCCGGCTGGGCAAAGGGCCGGGCACGAGCTTGGGCAGGAAGCTGGCGAGACAGCAGGGATGGGGACCTCCGCAGAGCCAGGACCAAAGAGAGGACCCCGGTGAGTAGGAGCAGCGGTCATACCTGGCACCCGGGCCAGAAGCAACCAGATCCTGGCGCTCTCAATTCTGTGTTCCAGGTTGGACACACACCGAGGAGTGAGCCTGCTCAAGTCCCCTGGGAGTGGGGAACGGTCTCTGGCTGGTCACAGGAACCTGTCACCCTCAAACTCACACGTGACTCCGTCAATCGGCTGCGTGTCCCACACTGTGTGTGCAGGCAGCCAAGGAAGTAAGGACAGGGTGGGCCTGGGAGCTGGAAGACAGGCTGCGTGCTCCCAGGCCAGTGACTTAACGTCTCTGGGCTTCCCGCTTTCCTGTCTGTCAAATGACTGTTTGTGTCCCTCTGCATTCCTGTGCTGAAGCCCGGACCCCCAACGTGATGGTATTTGGAGAAGGGGCCTTTGGGTGGTGATGAGGGTTAGATGAGGCCTTATGGGTGTGGCCCTTGCAACTGGACTGGTGTCCTCCTAAGAAGAGGGAGGTGCCAGAGCTCTTGCTCTCCCTGCCACGTGAGGACACAGGGACAAGGTGGCCACGTGGGAGTCAGGAACAGAGCCCTCACCAGAGACTGAATCTGCCAGACCCTGGCCTGGGGCTTCTGGCCCCCAGAACCGTGAGGAAATGAGCTCTTGTCGTTTAACTGGCCTATGGTTTTAGGTGATGACAGCCCTGAGCCGATGGGACACGGGGACAGCGTCTGCACCAGGCAGATGATGGGTGCTGAACACAAGCGTTAGCACTGTAGGCGCTGGGGACACAGTGCTGGTGAAGCAGTCTCATGCCACCAACACCCACAGTGTCCCCCCATGTGGCTGGCGTCGAGACTGGGCGCCAGGAGGCCAGCGCAGCTCAGACATTTATCAGGGGACGCCGGGGCAGGCACTGGGCTGTGAAGGCCACAACTCCACCCGACCCACGCACGGGCTCCGTGTGGCCGGCGCGGCCCTCGCCCAAGACCCACCTGTATCATGTACAGCTGAGCGATGCGGTACTCCTCCACGGTCATCGGCAGAGGAATCCGATATTCCTTTATAATCATCTTGGAGTCCAGGCCTTCCCGTCGATGGGGAACTGTGAGTTGGGACTTCTAGGCGAGGTTCCTTAAATAACCATGACAAAGTTCACCAAGGACCCCTGAGAGAGAGAGAGAGAGAAACAGAGGACAGGACGGTCACTTCCTGCCAAGACTGGTGGATCCGACCGCACGGAGGAAAGGCCCGGTGTAGACCAAGGCTGGAATTTGCCCCATCTCCTCTCCGGCCTCCACTCTCCTTGTGGGCTAAGAGCTGCCAAAAGGGCGAGCAAGGGGCTGTGTGTGAACTCTCTGATCAACCAGCAGCCACAGGGAAGCAAGAATTGTGCCCCTCTTAGCAAGGGCCAGGGAAAGAGCACCAGGCTCTTGTTCTACTCACAATCCTAACAAGCTCCAGCATCCGCTCCCCAGCAAGCCTGTGACACAGCACATAGCAGAGGCTGGTCACGGGAGAGAGGGCAGATCAAATGAAACCAGGAAGAACGACTCAAGACATTTACGGATCAGCAGTCTGAGCCCATCGGGGTCAGGGCCATCCACTTGTGTCACTGGGTGCAGACGGCGTCACCAATGCTGACTATACTGCAAGTCGTCATGGCGGGGTATTGGGAAAAGTTTTCAGTTAGCAATGATCACGCCTCGGACAAACTTCACTAGCTACAATATTGCCACTGCGCAAAGCTGGAACCTCTATTTAAGCCGACAATATATTGGATGAAGATTTGCAATGAAAGCAATCAAATTAAAAACAAAACAAAACCATAGATCTCAGAGGAGGCACATTCTCAGTTATCTGGAAAATGAAATCACCCGTTATAAGAGGCTTTGCCGTAAATGTCATCTGATCACCCCCAAGGCCACCCGCTGTTAACATGAAGCAGGGTGCAGGTTTCCAGCATGGGCAGCGGCAGAATCAGAATAGGACTTTAGAAAGACCACTCCACGGACAGCAGGCGGGTGGCTTCCCCGGGGGCACGGATCTATACGAAGCGTTTGAGCATCGGCCAGCACTAAAGCATTATGGGGAATCTAACGAGACTGAGAAAAATGTATTTACCAGAAATCTCAGGAAGACCAGCATATAGGGTTGAAAAACTTCTTAAATGAGCCATACAGGGAGAGCAACGGGGACAGGGGTCACATAAAGGGGCCTGAGATGGCCCGTGTTGGCCCGAAACAGCCCCCTGTGGTTTTACTTCATGGCACGTAGGAACCTTAGCCCAGAGGAGTGTCCAGCTCAAATTCTCACATCCAGTTGCTTTACATACGGTCCAAATGAACATCTTTTTAGCCAGTTAGAGCCTGTCTGCTTTATATGCCCCGTGAAACTGCACCCAACATCTGCCGGCCACCCTGCTGCCCACAGAGCTGTCTGGCCAGACACTCCTGGTTATGCTGCTCAGTGACGTCACCTGAACATATAAGCCTTGCCCTGGCTCCCCCCTCCCCCAGGCAGCTCTCTCCCCCTCCTCCCTTCCTGGGGATGGCCCGGGCACCGCTGTGTCTGGAAGGAACGGGGCCTACCTTCTTACACTGACCCGCGAAGCTCGGTGTCACTGTCCTGCCTGTTCCCTGATCCACCCTAAAACTCCCCAAAGGCTGTTTTCAGGTGAAAAGAGACCATCGCTGGCTCTCTCCAAGGTCGGTGGGTCTGCCTAACAGCCCACAGGGTATGCGGGTTTGGAGCCTGATCGGAGAGAACACAGACTAAGGGCTGCCCCGGAGGAGTTCTGCCCCACACTCCCAGCTGGGCTCTGCAATGCCTGCCCCTGTCTGTGTCCTCTCACGTCTGCCTGAAAGCTGAGGCCACAGGAGAGAGAAGCGATGGCCCTGCAGCCCCCAGGCTGCGCCTTGTCCCCGGAGAAGGTGTGGAACAAGAGCCTGCTTGGCCAGCCCAAAGCAAGGAATCTAAGTCCGACACCCACGTGGACATCCGGCTGGCTGAGAGGACAGCACAGGCACCGGATTTGGGGGCCCTCCTTACACACACGAAGGAGAGAGACCCTATGTTTGGCAGGAGAAGTTGGCTGAAATTAGGGTTGGAGATGAGAACGGGAAAACCAAAGTTCAACGGGGCCGTTTCCAAGGCTTTTCCATGTGGTTCTCATTGAAGCCCCAGGATCACCTGACCTGACAGATACTTCAGAAGCCACAGTGCACCAGTGTGACACGTGGCACCCACACCCACGTCTGTGGGCCTCACGTGTGCTCCTTTACTGCTGGGGGTAAATGCAGTGACCCAGAGTGACCTTGGTCAAGTCCAGGTTGGTCATCTAAACAGCAGATAGTCAGACACAATCTCTGCATGTTCTTCAGAAACTTCAGGAGTCTGAGCACCCTGTCCTTTCCCAGTCTCAGCTGTGCACGGCGAACTGCCTGCCACGCTCACCCACACCCAGATCAGACCACCCTCCATTCTCTTGGGTTCCCAGCCCACCGGGTGCTGCTACAGGCGCACAGGTTCCAGAGAGCTGCACTGAGCATATTCCTTAAACACCTTCATCTCCTCAAGTGACGACCAGGATGAAATCTCAGAGCCTGAGCTGACACCCACACACAGCTTGGGCCTCAGATTTCAGAGGCTCTGTGAGCACGTGCATGTCTGGAATAGGTACATGATGATGCTCCACAAACACAAGCCACCAGGTGAGCTGCAATCCCACAAGTGGCGTCCACAGTCTCGACGTGTGGGCAGAGGGACAAGACAGAGAGGGGACACAGACCCAGAGGGCACAGAGGCCCCTCAGCGGCTCCCACAACCCAAGTGGAGCTGGGCTAGTGGGCAAAGCTTAGGGCTGACCAGGGGCGGCAGCCGCACCACTGTTCCGGGGATCATCAGACAATGAGGATGCTTAGGACGTGATTCCATCTAAGGACAGGATGGAGAAAAACCACCGCGTTTCTGCCCCGAGGAACTGAAGAGCTGTGGAGGCCAGTAGGCAGATGCACAGATAGGTAGAAGGAAGGAACGAATAAATAGTTAGAGATAAGTGCATGGTGACTAACAGCAGGGGAGAGGACTCAGAGCTCTAGGCGTGACACAGCATGTGATGGACGGGAGGTCACTCTGGGATGCGGCTGCAGACCTGGCAGTGCCTTTACGAGCCATGTGATCTCCCAGAAAAGTACCTGCTGATCCTCGGTCTGTCCCAGTATAAGCGGGGATCAGCCCCCCTGACTGCAGAGTTACGAGTGTCACTGAAACGAGATCAGCCCCTCAGTCTAGCGGGGCCTGGGGAAATGCTCCGTGCACAGTGGAGCTGGGGGGGATGAGAGGAGGACTTGCCCCAGCAGAAGGCAAGGGAACAGGGACCCCGGACAGGGACATGCTGTCCTGCTGGGCCTGCCAGCACGGCTGTGACGCCCTGGGGAGATGGGGCCCGGTGTCCTGAGACATGAATTTAGGGGCTTGGACAGCCATGAAGTCTTCTTTAAAAAGGAAAATAAAAAGAATTACCTGGGCCGGGCGTGGTGGCTCACGCCTATAATTCTAGCACTCTGGGAGGCCGAGGCAGGAGGATCGCTCAGGGTCAGGAGTTTGAAACAAGCCTGAGCAAGAGCGAGACCCCATCTCTACTAAAAAATAGAAAGTTAGCTGGGCATGGTGCCACATGCCTGTAGTCCCAGCTACTTGGGAGGCTGAGGCAGGAGGATCTCGTGTGAGCCCAAGAGTTTGAGGTTGCTGTGAGCTAGGCTGATGCCATGGCACTCTAGCCCGAGCAACAGAGTGAGACTCTGTCTAAATAAATAAATAAATAAACAAATAAATAACTAAAGGCATTGATGGAGAAATCCTGGTGAGTACTGAATTAACATTTTTGAGATATTTTGATATCATGGCAATCACAGCTAGTGAAGAGAATATAAAAACCTCAACAACATACACAAATAATAATATAACGAACAAAAACTTGGAGTGGAAGACCAGAAACGGAAATAGAATTTCCTGAACTTCCATAGGATAGAAGTTGGTTCGTTAAGTAGGTTAAAAAAAAAATTAACGAGGGATGAACAGGTGGAGCACGGAGGATTTTCGGGGCGGTGGAACGGTTCTGTGTGAAACCGCGATGCCGAGAACATGACGTCCCACGTTTGTCCAAACCCGAGGGACAGACGACACCCTGAGTGAGCCCTGATACAACCTGTGGGCTCCGGGTGACAGTCACGTGTCAAGGGCAGCTCATCAACAGGCACAAATGTCCCACTCTGGTGCGGGATCTGGCTCTAGAGGAGGAGACACATGGGAACGCTGGAATTTCAAGTTTGCTGTGAACCTAAACTGCTTTGAAAAATAAAATTTATATATAATTTTGAAATTAATAACTTTAACCTTTTAAAAGTTTTTTTTTTTTTCCCTCAGAAAGGAGGTTAGAGATCACCAGGTGTTGGGGATGGAGGGAATTAAAGTCACTGTTTAACGGAACAGTTTTTGTCTGAGTGATAAAAAACGCTTTGGCAGTGGTAATGGTTATGGTTACACAACACTGTGAAGCTCCTTAACGCGACGGAATCGTACACATAAACGGGTTAAAAAGGCAAATTTTATGCTTTTTATGCATATATATATATATATTTGCCACAATTAAAAAAATCACTAATATACCAAAACCATTGAATTGTATACTTTAAATATGTAAAATGTATGGTATGTGAATTATACCTAAACCAAGCTATTGTCCAAGTTTTTCTCCAGCTGGGTGTGGTGGCACACGCCTATGGTCCCAGCTACTCGGGAGGCTGAGGCGGGATGATCGCTGGAGCCCAGGCGTCTGAGGCTGCGGTGAGCTATGTTCGTGCCTGTGAACAGCCACTGCACCCCAGCCTGGACAGCACTGTGAGACCCTGTTCTCAGGAAAATTTTTCTTTTCTTTTGAGAATCATTCTCACTTAATGATAAAGAAATGTTTTTCTGAATTTTAGCAATTCCTTTCCATTTCATTTTAGATACATGAAAATAGATTTACCTTTGGTTAAATCCAAGTAAAAATAAATTTGATTTTTATTTTAAAAATGCATGTAGAATATGACCCATCTCAAAACTTACTATTACTCTGTGTATATATCTGTTGGTTTAGAGTCTGGGACAAGTGGTCAGTGAATG